TCCAGACCAAATTATTTCTCGGGCCTTAAATGGGCCTGCGGGCTGGACGTTCCCCACCCCTGAGCTAGAGCAATGGCCACGAAGGTGAGAAGGAGGGTCTGTAATGAGAGAAGGTAAGAAGGAAGAATTTGCTGGTTTAGTAACCAATGAGGTAAGCAAGGAGAACTGAGGCTGACCTCTAAGGTTATAGAAAGAAAATCTAAGTGTTTCAATGGATTTCAGTGGTTGTTCTACCAACTGATGTGTGACCATCCCTTGCCTTCTAGATAGAATCCCGGCTTAGCCCCCTGCTGGCTAAGGAATGGCCTTCGAAGTCAAGCCCGCCCCCGAGAAGTACCGGGAAGCCCCCCATTCTCCCCCCATCCCCCCTCCCGCCGGGGCCACGCCCACCGGACGTCCTCCAGCTCGTAGAAGACGTTGCGGGCCTCGTCTTTGATGAGGATGGCGGTGTTGGGCGACTTGAGCATGCCCATGGTGAGCTTCTGCGGGAACATGTGCGCGATGAGCGCGTGCAGCGTGTCCAGGCTGCTGACCTCGTGCGTGATGTGCACGCGCCGAGTCTCTTCCCCGAACTGCAAGAAGAGCACCCCTGCGAAGGAGACAAAAAATCTAAAACCATCAGATAAATATGATGTAAGCAGAAACAGCATGTTAATCATCTTAGCTGTCTATTCTTATTTTTAATAGATGAAAGGATACAAATTTATTTGTTTGTAATAAACTTCATTCATTCTATTTTCTGAAAGAGCTTTTATAAATCCCCGGGCACCTCCTTGACCCCAGGCAGCTTGCAGCCTTGAGAAGGAAATGGAATTGGGGGCGAGAGCAGGTGGGACAGGAACTGGGGGAGTCGTTGCTGATGGGAGAGGGGGGAGAAGGGAGGGTATGAAGGGGGGCTGCTGAAGAGGGCGAGTGAGGGGGCTAAAGGAGAGGGGGGGCAGGGGATGCTGAGGGGTGGGAGAGATGATGGGGAGGTGAGGGGAGAGAGCTGGAAGAGGCTGGGAAGAGAAACCAAGGAGGGAGAGGCTCTGAGGGGAGGAGATCGCTGGGGTGGAGAGGCGGGAAGGGAGGCAGAGGCTTCTAGGAAGCTGGTTGGAGAGAGATGGATGGTCCAGGAGAGGAAGAGGGCTACAGGGCGAGCGGAGCGGAGGGAGGAGCCACGGGCCGGAGGAGGACGGGAGGAGGACAGTCGGCGGGCGGTACCTGGTGAGCGCAGCTTGCTCTGGCTGGCAGATCGCGAGAGGGGCAGGCTCTGTCGGAAGCGGTTCATCCTACTGAAGCCCAGAGGCAGCTCGGCCTCCGACATGGTCTCCAGCGACTCAGCCGAGGCGTAGGACAGCTTGGCTGCCTGGTCTGCCAGCCCTGGCTGGGCTCCCTGAGTGTGGCGTGAGCTGCGGGTCTGAGGGGGCAAGGCCGGTGAGAGGAATGGAGCGAGAGCCCTTCGCTCTGCCCGCTGCCCCCACCCAGGAGCGGGCACCTCCCCCCCACCAGCCCCTGCCAGTCACAGACACGCACAGGAAGGTCTCCTGGATCCCAGACTGGGCTGTGTGGCGGCAGGAGAGTTCCCCGCCTCCTGGGGCCTGGGCCTCCCTGGGACACCCAGCAGGGAAGGACGGGGCCAAGGACCGGGCTCCCTGGGAAGCCACACAAGAAGCTGGAGCAGGAGCCATGGGCACGCCTGCTATTTTAAGCTTCCAGAGAACAACAACACAAATTTGTCACCGAGGTGAGTGAGCAGCAGCATCGTTGAGCAAATTGGGGCATTAGTTCCAGACATTAATTAAGCTAAGCGGCGGGTTGGTGAGCGGCGAATTTATCCTTTGTGGAGTTCAGGGAGTTGGGTTGGGGCAGGAGGCAGGGCCCAGGGAGAAAGCAAAGAGAGCTAGGGACCCCAGGATCACAGCTCAGGGCGGGGGGATGGGGTATGGGCCCTCACTGAGCTGTGCACAATGTCCACCGGGTTACTGGGAAAACCATCCCAACCCCCCCCCCAAAGCCAGTCGGACCCCAGTTTCAAACAGATGACCTGCCTATTACATGCAGTGTACATGCTAAGCCTTGTGTGATCCACGGGCATACACGCATAAGTGCTAGGCCTTAGCCCCTCCCTGCAAGGCACATGCTGCCACACAGCCAGCCAGCTAGCCCTACCCAATCACCTCCCCTGGAGCCCAGCAGAGCAGCCTCTGTCCCAGAGCTACAGCTGAAGGTAAGAGCTGGCCGGGGCTAGGGAAGGGTGTCACCCAGTGCCCATTCCCTTCCCAGACCAGTCTGATTACTCTCTGTGGGGAACCAGTCACCCTGATTTCTATCGCACGAAAAGAACCTGCTTTTAGGGCTGTCACTCAACCACAGCTCCTGCCATTCTGCCTCAGCCCCTCCCCTCAAGCCTGGCCGTTGTCAGAAACTCATTTATTTAAGGGAGAAAGGTAATGAGTCAGATCTACACCATCCCGTGTTATGTTGCATGGTATACATATATGTGCTATATATACATATATTCTCAGGAAAAATCATTTTGCCCAATTCTATTTTTCTATAAAATCAATTGCCCATTTTAAACAAAAACCACTCAGAACGATTAACACTGGTTATCTCGGGGTTGAGACAGCTTTCCCGGTGACGAGTTTTCGTGTCATCCGTGTGCTAACCTTCTCCGTGCCATTCACAGTTTGAGTTCCTGTGCTGCCGAAGCGCGCGGTCGCTTTTTACTTTGTACCTTTTCTGCTGGGTGAATTTTGCACAATCAGAATAATCATTTTTATAATTAAAAAAAACACACAGTAAAAGTACCTCTAAAAAGGAATCATTTATTCTCCTCCCCAGCCCTCTTCTTCCCCAAATCCTGATTAACCCCTAATTAATGTCCATCTTCATATTAACTTAATTTAATGTTCCAATTGGATTAGCACTCTTGAAATGAGAGAGCATCTTCCTCTGATGGGCAATGTGCCCAGCTGTCCCCAAAGTGGCCTCAAGGGCTCCGGGGATGTGGAAGGACAAATGTGGAGGCCTCAGGGGGCCCCAAGGACAATGCCTTACCCAGTGAGTGGGCATGGGTCTGGGGAGGAGGAAGGCAGTGTAGGAACTGGTGGGGGGGATGCCTGTGCCAAGACTGAACTGGGCTGACCACCAATGCCAGCCTGTGCCCTTCTCTCTCACCTCAGCCCTGAGGCAGTGTAGAGAACCATGTCTGGTCTGGTGGTCATGAGGTTGCCAGGCAACTGCAAGTTCAGTGCTTGCCAGGCTGGTGTGGATGAGGGGCTACAGAGTTCAGGCGGAATGAGCAGCTAGCAGGGATGGAGCAGCTAGCAGGGATGAAGAACAAGGGATGGCCATGGTGGCTTTGGGGGAGGGCACTAGTGAGGTGTCAGTAAGAAGATGGAACAGGGGTTAGAATGAAGGGGATCCTAGAGACCGCTGGCTCCTGAGAAGGCAGGACCCTGCCCAGGAGAGCCTGGGGAAAGAGATGCCCACATTCCCTGCCCCACCAGTTCCTGTCTCCATCCCGGCCCCAGGGGCGCCTTTCTAGTCTCACAGCCCTTGTAGAAAACCCTCTTGAGAAGAGAGAAAGCCTGTTTGCACTTCTCTCCATCCCTAGGGTGAGAACAGGGCAGAGAAAAGAGGGAGATGGCAAGAAAACCAAGCAGTAATTCAAGCAGAGCTTCCCAAAGGCAGGAAAGGGGCTGCAGTGGGAAGCAGTGAGCACCTGTCACTGGAGATGTTTTGGGGAGCCATGGCTCCTGGTCTGAGATCAGGTAGAGGGAACCTTGAGTGAGGTTCTGGGGTTCTGAGCACTCTCCAGACTGGGGCAGAGTCATTTGGGAACTTTTTTTTTCTTACTAATTTTATAAATATATATATTTTTTATTGGTTTCAGAGAGAAGGGAGAGGGAGAGAGAGATAGAAACATCAATGATGAGAGAGAATCATTGATCAGCTGCCTCCTGTACCCCCCCCCCACACACACACACACACTGAGGATCAAGCCCACACTCTGGGTATATGCCCTGACCTCCTGGTTCATAGGTAGACGCTCAACCATGCTCAACCACTGAGCCACGCCAACTGGGCTGCTTATTGGCTTGAGAGAGAGAGAGAGATCGAGATCCACTTATTTATGCATTCATTGGTGGATTCTTGTATGTACCTTGGCATATTGAGACAACGCTCTAACCAACTGAGCTATCCGGCCAGGGCCCCATTGGGAACTTTTTAAAAACACTTTTGAGGTCCCCACATTCACTGAATCAGAATCTGAGGGTTGGGGCCTGGGGTTCAAGATTTTTTTACAAGTTCCCAATGTGATTCTGATTTGGGAATCAAGCAGCGTCCATGATTCTAACGGAGAACGAGGTGAGCGACCATGTAGGGCTCCCTCTGAGCCAGGCACTGTGCCTGTGACAGGCAGTATCTCATTTCTTCTCTCTGCACAACAGCTCTATGATGCCGATGTTGTTGTGCCATTTTACAGAGGAGAAACCGAGGCCCAGGGGATTAGGTAACTTGCCTCAGGTCACCTAGCTAGTTAGTAGCAAAGTGGAATTCACCGCCAGGTGGTCTGGCTCTCGGATTAAACCACTACACGCTACTGTCCCCTCCAGAAAGGCCATGACTGACGCCATGGTTCTATCCCACGATTCTCTAATTCAAGGACGTGTTCTCTCTGGGAGAATGCGTGCCAACAAGATGCTTGGAGCAAGACGACACTGGGGAGTCTGGGATGGATACTTCCCACCCCCTGTCATGATGTTTGGGACATGAGGGGCTGGAGACTAGGACACAAGCATCAGTCTAACTTGGTTCAGCTCTGGGCCTGGGTGCCAGGAAAGATGGCAGAGGCACCCAAAGGGCTCTCCCAGGGCCGCAGGATGCCCAGTCTCTCCAGGGGAGGCAGGAAGGCACCCAGCCCTGAGCTCAGCCCTCCACATGGGCAACAGGTTTGGGGGTATAGGACTGTGAGTCTCTTGCCTGGCACTGACCAGCTCCCCATCGTGGGAAGTAAGAACAGGATGAGGGGCCCATCATAGTCACAGGCCTCCCTGGAAGATGGGGTTTCAGGATCTGAGTTCAGAGAACAGGCCCCTCCACAAGATGATGGGATCCAGGCCCAGCCTCAGAACCAGCAGTCCTGGCCTGGGAATCCCCACTCAGATCCCCCTCAGGGGTGGCCCAAATTCCAGCACTGGATCCACCAGCCCCTGGCAGGTGAACCCAGAGTCCCTCAAAGCAGCAGCCACAGCCTGCACCCCAAAGCCCTCCGCCCGCACCAGAAGGTCCCGTGCAGTCGCACACCCCTGCGCAAAGCGTGTGCAGGGAGGGGGAGGATGGGAGGGCACATGCAGTTGTCATGGAAGCGGAAGCACCACACACTGACCTTGAAACTCCAGTAGTTTGGCTGCTGATGGAAATAAGAGAAGAGATGGTTATGATGGGGTTGGGAGGGGAGAGGGGCGCAGGGGTGGGTTAGAGACCTTTGGAGCTCAGCACTCAGCCCTGGGACAGGGGCCCTCAACCCTCCCAGGAGCAGGGAGGAAGCTATGCCTGGTACATCCCATTCTCTACTGAGACCCAGGCCGGCTCCGGGCCTGCTAGTGGGGAGGGGAGAACCCCTCCGGCTGTTTACAAGCCGCGCACTCTAGTCACAGTAACTGTCCTCAGAGAGGTACAGATGGGAAAAGGCGCCGATGACCGTGGTATAGGGAACCCAGGAGACCCTGACAGAGATGAACTGGAGCTGCAGGGTCAACGAAGTGGCAGCTGGTTGTGACAGGCCAGGGAAAACTTCCCGGAGGAGGTGGCATTTAAGCTAGGTCTTGAAAAATGAGTAGCTCAGATTGGACAAAGGCATGCTGAGCAGGGGGGACAGCGTGGGCAAGTGCCCTGGGCCAGGCAAGAGGAGGGTGTGTTGAGGGAATAGTCCACTGTCCGGGCTGGCTGAGGCGCAGGGTCTGGGCAAGTAGCGGATTAGGCTACAAAGAGGGGGCTGGGGCCGGATGAGCGGACTTAAATGCTGAGCCAAATTATGTAGATTTAGCAGGTTGGATGCGCGAAGGCATCTGAGTGAAACACAGTGAGGTCAGAAGTGGACTCCAGGAGGGCTGCTGGGGCAGGTAGTGGAGGGGGGCCTGGGACCAAGGCCAGGGCAGGGAGGCCTGTCAACATGATAGACGTGGAGTATAGAGGAAGGTGGACAGATGCCAGTCACCGTACAGCCCTGGGCAATGGGTGGGAGCCACGGGCAACAGAGGGAATTGTGGTCAGTGGGAGCAGAGGCAATTCCTGTGGCCGGATAGATGAAAGAGGAGGCTCCTTGAGCCTCTAAAAGGGATGGGGGCTCAGATTCCTCCTCATTCACAATAACCTGGGGTCGCCCTGCCTTCCCCGGAGGCCAGAAGGCCCCTACAGATTGCTAAGGACAGGAAGGCGTGGCCGGGGGGCCTGGCTGGTTCTTGGCAAAGCTGAAGGCACCCTGCTGGCCGGTGCCAGCCTCATCAGGAAGACAAGAGGCAGCAGATGGCCTGGCCCTGGGGTGCCTGGCACCAGCAAACAAGATTCCCCGAGCCTCAGAGCCCCTGGCAGAGAGGAGGGACACTGCGGGCCCCCAGTGGGAGAAGAAAACAACATTAGGGCATCCTGGGCCATCTGAACGCTTTCAAGACAAAGAGGAGTTGGTCAGGGGCTGCTGGAATGGAGGCTTGCCCTGAGTTAGACCTTTAGGGTGGGGGTGGAACAATGAGGTTCACTCTCCAGGGCCACCCCCATCTACCCCCATCTGAGCCACAATCCCCAGCTCTCCTTTTGGCATTGGCTCCCAGAGATGCAAAAAATAGTAACATGGCAGGCAGGGGAGGGGGACAATGAAGTCTGTGCCCTAGCCAGTGCCTGGAACAATCTATGGACACATGCCACCCCCATCGGTGCCAGGGGATCCCCACAGGTGCTGAGGGGAGGCTCGGGGCTGGAGTGACAGGCCCTTGCCACAGCTGCCTGTGGCCTTGGGAAGGGGAGGGGTAGCAGAGAGAGTGGACACGTGGGGCCAGCAGTGCCAGGCAGAGGGCACAGGAAGGTTTATGATGAGAGTCGTGTCTGCAGCCCCAGGGATGATGGACGGCTCTGCAGAGAAGGCTGCTGTCCTTCGTCCACCACCACCGTTACCCTGAGCAGACAGGGCCCCCCACAGCGCCCGGCAACACGCAGGCCCCACGCTGAGCCCTTGCACAGACTCGAGAAGGACATCACCGCAAGCACATCCAGAGCAACAAAACACACCCCCAAAAAGACACGAGCATCCCGCCATGGTCAGATACAACCCCGGAAACAAGCCAACTCAGAGGCAGAGCTATCTGTTCGTACACCACCCCCACTCATTCACAAATGGGTACACTCCCACAGGACCCTGACTTGCTCACACACACTCCAGTCACAAACAGAGGCACCGACACCATTCACCCCCCCCACATGTCCCCGACAGGGTCACAGAGCCCACTCACGTATGAATACAGACACACGCCAGATGCAGAAACACAGGAAGCAGTACCCACACATACAAAGAGAGTCTCGTCCCTCCTCCCACCACCAGCCCCAATAGCGAGGTCAGGGGTCTCTGGCCGGCCACCTCAGCCACTGTCCCATGCCCATGATCCCAAACATCATGTGTCAGGTGGGTGCACTCCTGATTCAAAAGAGGCCGAAGATGGCCCCCTCCATCCAGCCCCCAATGTCAACACAGCCAATTCGGCGTGTGCAGATGGCTGGGGCCCACCTCATGCCTCTAGGGGGGAGACAGGGATGGGGCCCGTCCACAGCCACACTGGCTGTGCCCTCAACACGGGCCTACCTCGGGGTCCCAAGGCTAGGCACATCCATGGGGCAGGCAGACCTGCAAGAGAGGGGTTACAAGCTGGGGACAGGGGAAAGGACTGAGGGCATCGGTGCCGCAGGAAAAGCCAGGCAAGTCCCACTAGAGGGTAAAGATGGGAGGGTTGCTTTGCTGGTGCTTGGCGAACTTGGAGTGAGGCTACCACCACCGTCCCGGGACTTTGGGCTCTGCCTGTAGAGCACGCTGAGTGGACCCTGCCCATCCTCCTCTGCCAAGTGGGAGGAATGAGCCTCTTCCACGCTGGCCCCATCAGGAATGAGACGGTCTCCTGGCAACTCAGTGTCCTCGGAGGGGGAACCTAGGGGAGGGCCTTGGGGATGCTCTGTCTCTTCCCAGGGTGTGGAGCAGAGGGCTTCTCCCCTGTTCACTAAAGCGGGGCTCCCCATCCAGCCTCCAGCACCCTTCACCTCCTCACCCTCTTCCTGGCTGTCTGTTGCTCCTGCTATGCACATCACAGTGCCTGGTATATAGCAGACCCTCAACAGATATTTGACTATGAATTAATGCCAAGAGAATGGGACCAGCCCACAGGAGGAGGGGATGTCTGAACACTCTCATCTGGCACCACTCCCTCCATCTCCTGGGACGGGGTACCGTTCAGCCTCTGGGCCTTTCCCTAGGGATTTCCCAGCACAAACCCCCTGGAAGGAGGGCAGAGGACAGGGAGGGCCGGGAGAGGTGGGGCTCCCCAGCCCAAGCCCAAACCTCCAATACCTCTAGTCAGGGAGGGGTCTCCCTCCCAGACAGTGCGAAGGCAACATAACGGGTTGAGTAGGGAGACCCTACCATGGCTAACAGAGTAGCAAAGACTCTTCCAGGCCCAGGGAGCTGTCAGCTGTTATCAGAGGGTAACGCAGAAGCCCTCCATCTCTCTCTAGGGACAAGGCTTTCAGAAACGGGGGAGGGGAGCCGCCCCAGGACCCAAGGAAGCAAGGCCAGGGAGTCCTCCAACTCCCCCGAGAGAAGAGAAGACAGCTCCTTCCTCTGGGAGAGGAGGAGTTAACGCCCTCCCTCCCCCGCCCTGGGGTCCTTAGTGGGGTTCTTCCTGTCCCTGGCAGCTGCTCCCCTCTCCCCGGGGAGCCTGAGCCCAGCCAGAGGCTGAGGTCTTGCCCCTCCCCTGGGCAGATGCCCCCTGTCTGCTAGGTGAGTGCCTGACCCCTCCTTGACCTCGAGCCCCTACAACTGCATCCTCAAGGGAGGGCAGGGCGGACATCCATTAGGTCTCACCCCGGCCCCTCGCTCCCTGGCTCCGCTGCACCGGCGCACACACCCACCTCTCAACTCCTGGGAGCACCATCCGCGTCAACACCGACCCCTCTCCTGGGCCACAGAACGCGCCCTGCGGGCACCACCTCCCAAGGCCACGCACATGCACGACCCTCCCCTCGGTGCGCCCCTGACACTCATTTCCCAGCCCTTCCCTGCAGAGTGTGTGTGTGTGTGTGTGTGTGTGTGTGTGCAGGGGGGGCGGGGGGAGGAGGCTGTTGTGGGACCTGCGCCGGGGGCGAGGTGCACCCCCGGAAGGTCATGACTTTCCGAGGTTGGGGGAGGGGGCGCCCA